TCCAGTAGATAATATTGCATTTATGACTTTGCAGGCTGAAAAAAATGCACTGACTTGCGCAAATCCAACACTGATAACTATATCTTTTCTCCTTATGTTAATTCAGTGCTATATTTTGTAAACTTTGAATTTCATAATTTAAACTAACCAAATAAAGAAACAGGAGAGGATGAAGGAAAAATATTCTCAGTGTTCTTTCTATGCTGATGATGCAAGACGGTCTTGGTGATCTATGGAATTTGGGAATATGCATATTTAGAAGCTCCTATATGGTAAGAAGTTATAATGAATCTTGTCCTTTCTTTTTGCCATACTAAAATTAAATGCATCATTTTATGTAGCTTAGAGTTCCCAGAGAGGTAGAAATGTTGAGAACATAACAGAAACTATTCTTTAGTATTATCAACTCTCTCTGGATCCTATTCCTCTTGTATTCAAACCTAAATGGGGGCAGGGACAGAGAGATAACAAGATGGTGACAAAATGTCAATTGAAACATGTTCAGTCATTCTAGAATCTCAAAATAGAGGGTTTAAAGCCAGAAGCTTCACTGCTGCATGTTCTAGCATCATCCTTTTCAGCTTCTATCTACTAATTCTTCTTAGTGCTTCTTATAGGGATCATTGCAATGCAAGGTAATTCCTCAGTACTTACTGTAATATTATAATGCTATGTCTGCTGTTTTGTACCATATTACAGTGGTTTCTCTATAACATATGACAAAAATGTTCATCTTGACTCTATAGGAAAAAGCTGGCCATTAACTTGGAACTTCAGTAAGGCATTTAGCAAGGTCTTTCTTAATATCCTGTGGTCAAGAAGAAAAATATAGGCTGGATGACTGCACAATTAACATGATTCATAGCTGGCTGAAACAACATGTGCCAAAAGGTGCTAATTAATGGACTAATATCAAGCTGAAGGAGTTCTCCAGATGTTCTACATCACTTTACCCTTTGCCCAGTGCCATATATATGGGTAATATTGAAGTGTATTAGAGCACAGAATCACAACTCAAAATATTAAAACAGGATGAAGTAATAGGCCAAATCTAATGAGATTAATTTAAAGGGGATAATATGAAGCTCTGAATTTTGGTCTAAAAATATCTTTACTACTCAAGAATAAGATACAGAACTGGACGTGGTGGTGCATGCCTGTAATCCCACCACTCTGGAGGCTGAGGCAGGAGGATCACCATGAGTTCAAGACTTGCCTGGGCTTTGTAGTGGGGTCAGGGCCAGCCTGAACTGCAACATCCTGCTTCAAAACAAAAAAAAAAGGCATAACATTTTGTTACAAGGATAACAGCATATGGATTTAGCTGTTAAAGCCAGCCCATTAAATGCCAGGTGGCATTGTAAGAAGTAGGTATTGGTTAGGTAGTAGAAAGAACATTGGATTTAGCATCAAAAAATGGGTCAAGCCCCAGTTCTATTACTTTGGCCCTCAGACTCTTTCATCCTTACTTTCTTCTCAGTGTTGTTGTGAAGTTAAAATACATTACCCTGTCTAAGTTCCAAGCATTTGTGCTCAATAAATATGACCTAGAAAGGTTACCCTTCACAATGAAATAGATGGCTTTGCCACTCCATTTTGCCCCAGAAAAGATGGTAATTGGAATGAGTTCCAGTTGCTACACATGCAAGCAGACGGGAGCTGCTTCCAAAGACAGTGGCCAGGATGGATGAGTAACTCAAAGGAGAGCATGAAGAATTGCTGTGTGAACTGAGGATAAGTGACTTGAAGAATAGTGGGTTCAAGGAAGACCAGAGCCACCTTCAAGCATCTTTTGATGCATTTCATGGCTTTCTGGAGAGCTTCAATGCAGCAAAAGGTAATATAGAAGGATGGAAAATATAAGAATGTGGGTTAGGGTGACCACTTGGTGGGGATGTTGTGAGTGATTTCAGTTTAAGTGGATGGTTGGACTACAAGGCCTTTAACAGGACAGTCCAACTGTTATACTTCCTGAAGGCTTGTCACAAATTGGTTCCTTCTAAATTCTAGGTCAAAGTGATCTACGATATCTGCTCTTTTGAGTTGGCTGATCTCTAGCCTTCAAATACTACTTTCTCTTCAGCCAGATCTACTTCCCCCACCAGTTTCTCCCTGTTCCCTACTTTGTTTGGGATTTTTTCATTGTTAAAGTGTCCTTGTAAGGGTAATTTGTAGACATTTTGGAGGAGATGAGCCAGTCATGCACGTTGAGAACCAGAATCTAGGAGCTCCTGTGTTGAAACTGTGAAAGAAATGGGGCAGGTACACAACCTGAGACCAGGCTTTTAATGGGACTTGGTATATTGGTTAGAAAGTTTGACTTGTGTCTTTTGGCCTGTTGCAAGTACTCCAAAGTAACTTGTTCAACGGATGTATTTCCCTGTTTTCTGAAGGCAAAATGTGTCCTGGGCAGATGGTTAGGCACCCCCAGCCTGTTCCAGATCGCGATAGGGAAAGTGTCCAGAGAAACCAGAGAGGCTGGCCATCTCCTTCCTGGTTTGACCCAGTCCATTCTGCTCCCATGTGACCCCAGGGAACCGTTTTTATTTTTTTACAGCCTAGAGAGGAGGTATACTGGCTGCCGGCCAGTTGTCGGGGATGTGGCCGCCAGATCTGCTGGGTTGGGGTGAAAGAGGATGCTGCAGGGAGGGGTCCGCGGCTTCTGACTGGCTGGGACGCAAAGGCTAATTTGCATAACATTCTGTGACGCGTTGTGATTGGCTAAAGTCAGAGGGGTGGCAATGGGGTGATTCCAAGGGCTCAGAGCTCTGGCCCTTGGACCTTTTTGCACTGGAGTTACCCCGGTGGGTGTGAGTTTTTGCGTGGGCCGAGGGAGCTGGGAGGCCGGGTTTGAGAAGTTTTGCAGGCAGGTGGATGAGCCATCTTCCTTGGATAGGGTTTAAGAAATGGGCTAGAACAGTGGCCGAGAGTGGAGAAACTGGGCGATCCAGTCCAGACTGAAGGAAGGAAACGGATCAGGGGAAGGGTGGAGACCAAAGTGGAAGGAGTTAGCTTTCTCTCAGGCCAGGCTTTTTGTCAGGGTGGGCTCCCTTTGCTAGACACTCGGCTCTCCTTTTTCGTGAGTTATTAATCATACTCTGTTGGAACTGGGTAGAAAAAGAAGCGGAATCCCAGCATTTAATAGCTAAAAGCGAATACTAAATTTTCATTAGGGCTTATATATCATTTAAAATACTAAGGGAGTCAGGGATGGGGGCGAAGTGTGTTTTAATTTGTGATCAACTACAGAAACTGCACATCTGCTTTTCTTCAGTTTTCCTCCTGTAAACGAATGTTCTTCCAATCTTGTTGAGCAAAACCAGCTTGGACTATTTTATACTTCTACTCCCTAAGCACGGTGGAGGGATGGGCTGTGGAGGGGGTGATGTCTGTGGCTCATCCTGGCCTTTTCCACATTTCCCCCCACATTTTTAATTTTTTTGTTTCCTCACAGACACCTCTCCACTATGTGGTTTCGTACTAAGTAAATTATTCCTTGTAAAGTACTTTGCAATTTACATATTTATTTTTACATCCATCTAACTTAACCTTACCTAAAATCGGCAATCCATTTATTGATAGGGAAACAGACTGCAAAAGTTGCTAAGTCTCTTAGTTCAAAAAGCAGCGGTGGAATTATTTTAATACCTCAAACTTATATAATACTTCTTCCTCTACATTCTTATCGTTGATCTCTCAAAAGAGGTTGAGCAAGTAAATTATTGCAGTTTTACAGATAAGAAGACAAGGATTATGATCTGTTGTTAATAAATGGGAGGGGGCAGAATGGCCCCCAAGGGCCACACTGACATTTGTCCATTGTTAGTAGTCCTTGTTGTTTCAAGTTGGCCTTTCATTCAAAATACAATAAGGAAGATAGCTCGTTGTGCAAAAGATTTCAGTATAGCTCCTTTAAGTATATATATATCCTTAAAGTGAAAGAGAGAAACCCAGCTTCTCTTTTCTGATACTTTTTTTGTTCCGGAAAATACTGTACTAATCCCCCTCCCTAAAATTTTAGAGGGAAGGGATTTAAAATTAGAAGTTTGAGTCCTAATTGTACCACTGTTTGAAAAGATTGGTGGGTAAGAGACATAGCCAGGGGAGTGAGGTGGGAAAACTAAGACTGGGCCATGTTTAGGAAATTTCAAAGTGAAATTTAAGATGCAAGTCTTAAAAAGTTATATCCAGAGATGTAGTGCTCAATGTAGGTACTATGAAATGATCCTGTGTTTAAGAACTATCTTTTCTGTTAAACAATGAAAGACTCCCAATACCAGACTAACTACTGTCACCTTCACCTAGCCATTTGACAGCCAAAAGGTCACAGGGCCTGGCTGGGCTTTCCAACATAATTTCTCTCTATTGCCGCGTTCTGATCTTTTGAAGGAAAAAAAAAAAAACTGTAAATCTGACGGTAGGTCGCGCTGACTCCTGGCAGCAACTGTAGGAAAATTGGGAAAGGAGAGGCTTGGAGGAAGGCGAAAAGCCTCCGCCAACGACATCCCTTCCCCCAGCTGCTGACCAAGTGCAGGGCAGCTGCGGGAGCACTGCGCGTCCACGTGCGCCCGGCCTGTCCAGCTTACGTAAGAGTCCCAGGATGAAGTTGGGGCAGATGCGGGTCCCTTTTCCCCGAGGGCTAATAATAAACCGAGGCTTCAGTTTCCCTCCTGCGGTTACTCTGGACTCAGGGTGGAGGGGCTCACTTTGCAACCCGGACACATACATTCCGGTCAGCCCAGCCTGTGAGCAGGCTCCAAGTCCGCCGCCCCATCCGCGCGGCTGCCCGCTCCCTTTTGGATTGGGATGCAGGGGCCTTGTGAACACGCAGAGTGCCTGGCCCTCCCCAAGCTGGCCCTGGGCTGGGCGCGGGCTGGGCGCGGCTGCTCCATCCCTCTCTGCCTTGCCCTGCCCAGCCTTGTCTTGCCCTGCCCTGCCCCGGCGCCCTCCCTTTGCCCGGGTATCAGGCGAGAGGCGGAGCTGGTCTGGCGCGCCCCGCCCCAGCAGTGGAAGGGGCAGGGCCAGTGTTACTCGCGGCCATCTGGGCTGGGGCCTTTTATCTAGACGCTGCCGGGGGAGGCTGGAGGAGGAGACACGGGGGTGGCCCTGGGCACCAGCGACACATTTCCTGGACTATAAATTGAACACCTGGGATGAGTAGGGGGCCGACGCAGACGCCGCCGCCCTCAGTCACTGTCCAGCCACTGACCACCGCAGGGCCCTTGGGCGGCCTCCGCTGGCAGAGAAAGCACTGAGCCGCCAAGAAGCAGGGGATCTCAGGACGAAAGAGGTGGGTGCCCCGCCCCATTGCCGCCCGGGCCAGCGTGGTTGACTGAGCTCAGGCTTTTCAGAGGGTGAAGATCTTCGTCCTGTGCTCTGCAGCCCTCTTCTGGGAGGTGTAGAGGTGGGATCGCCTGGTCTGGGGGAGCTACCCCGACGCCACCCCAAGCTAGCAGTAGCCGGGGAGGGAGGAGCACGCGGGCAGGGGCACTGAGCAGCCCAACCGGGTGAGTAATGTATTCTGTCGTTCCTATCTCCTAACCAGGCTGAGGCTCGACCCACCACCATCGCGATCTACCGGACGTCCAAGCTAGAGAAGCCGCTCACCGCGCAAGGCCGGGCTACCAGCCAGACAAGAGTTGGAGAGGGCGTAGGAGGAGTCGGGAACATCCCACCCCCACCCCCTGCTGTAGCCAGGCTCCCGGCGCAGGCCTCGCCTGGGAGAACGCGTGAAGGCAGGCACCCCCAAGTCCGGGACGACCATCCTCGTGCCCGAGTCTCTGCGCTTCGGCACCTCCGCGGCCATCATGATGCAAATCTGTGACACCTACAACCAGAAGCACTCACTCTTTAACGCCATGAATCGCTTCATTGGCGCCGTGAACAACATGGACCAGACGGTGATGGTGCCCAGCCTGCTGCGCGACGTGCCCCTGGCCGAGCCCGAGCTCGATAACGACGTCGGCGTGGAGGTAGGCGGCGGTAGCAGCTGCTTGGAGGAGCGCACGCCTGGGGCACCCAGCCCGGGAAGCGCCAACGGCAGCTTTTTCGCGCCCTCCCGGGATATGTACAGCCACTACATGCTGCTCAAATCCATCCGCAACGACATCGAGTGGGGAGTCCTGCACCAGCCGCCTTCCCCAGCCGCGGGGAGCGAGGAGAAGAGCGCGTGGAAGTCCAAGGACATCCTGGCGGACCTGAGCCACTTGGAGAGCGCGGATGGCGGCGAGGAGGACCTGGAGCGGCAGTTCCACTACCACCTGCGCGGGCTGCACACAGTGCTCTCCAAGCTCACCCGCAAAGCCAACATCCTGACCAATAGATACAAGCAGGAGATCGGCTTCGGCAACTGGGGCCACTGAGGCGGGGCGCCCGCAGCTGCCCAGCACCCCCTCGGGCTCTTTCTACCCTCTCTCTTTCCTCCAAGCTATTTTCTTCCTGCTTGTGGGGCACGAGGGGCACATTGCAAAACTGGGCTGTGTATGTGCAGGGGGCTCGGAGGGAATGTGTGGCGGAGAGGGCCTCCGTCTCAAGAAGAGGAAACACTTGGTGGGAGAGGGGAGCTCCAGGATCCCCCACAAGGGAACTGCATCTGTATTGTTGGGAATGGGACTGAGCTGAGGCCCCATGTTCAGCCTGTGCCTTTCTTGGGGTTTCTTTTTCTCTTCTAATTTCTGGAGGCGAAGGACCTGAGAAGGGGCCTTGCCAGGGCGCGGCGCTGGGTTGCCACACTTGGGAGCCCGGCTGGAGCCGGGTGCTGGGGAAGGCAGGGCGCGCAACCTCCGGCCCGCCCTGCTGGTGAGCCAGCTGAGGCCCTAGCGTTGCTAAGATTGCGTCAGTTTTCCTGTTTGCACTATTTCTTTTTGTAACCGTGGCCCTGTCTTAAGTATTTCAAATTCCCTTCTTGCTCTGAAACTTCAGTGATTCCATTGTGATAAGCGCACAAACAGCACTGTTGGTAACCGGTACTACTTTATTAATGATTTTCTGTTACACTGTACAACCGTCCTGTGGCACCACACCCCATCCTTTTCACACCACCCTTCCCCCACCCCAGTGTGTGTGAGCTGGCAGTGTGCCAACTTGTACGAAGCTTGCCACCCAGTGAAAAATAATAACGTTATTATGAAAAAGTAGACTCATCCAAAATGGAACCAACTGATATTCTATCTGTGTGGTACATAGAGTGATGAAGGGTTCCACTGTTGTTGTGTTTTAAATTTATTTAAAAGCTTTTTTAATCCAGATGTAGATTATATTCTAAAAATAAAAAAATCCAAATATGTTAACTAAACTGGACAAGCGTTTGTTGCTTTAATCCGCCTTTGAATGGCTTAGACCTTAAATAAAAATAAACTGATACTTTTCAGCAAAAGTAAATTTTATTTTTCTCTTTGGTATGTAAGGTGACTGTTCTTCTGTGCGAGTATTTAATTTTGTGTGGAGGATAGCTATTGATGAGACCTAACTTCCAAGTTTCATTTCGGAAGCAGTATCAGAAGAGGATCACACATGCCAACAAAACAGTTCAAAGTATTTGGGAAGTTACAAATAGGGTATGTTTTAGCCAATTTGGCATGCTTATTGGAGCACCTAACTAACATTTTGAACTTTTTAAAGAAACTCAAAGCACAAGCTGAGGTGTTTTGAGGCATAAAAATTTATGCTAAAGGCTGACATTTCACTTGACCACTGAAAAACAAAAATTGCAAATGAATTTGTGCAAATTAGGCTTGCAAACCCTAATAGGTGTGTCCTAATACTACAAGGCACACTGCCAGGATCTTTATTTGCAAGATTTGTTGATCTTAGGAGGTAGTGTAGCTGTATTGTAACATGGGTAATGGGGTAACGCCAGTTTTCAGCAGTTCCCGCTTTGTTGAGCCGTGCCCAGTATTCCAGTTTGCAGTGACCCAGTTTGCAATTGCACTTGGCACATCTGATCAAGGCTTTCACTGGGCTCTTAGGAAGGATGTTTAGATGCCTTTATGATGCTCAACAGAGAGGGTGGGACTGGTGAAACATGGAAGTCTGTATTTTCTTTATTTCATTATTTGTATTGGGATAAATGTCAGATGAAGTTCAATTTCCCATGTTTGAAACCATGGGGCATTCTCTGAAATCAGGGCAAGAAGTTTAAATCCATATAACTTGACCATTTAAAATAAATGAGTGTGTGTGGGCCTGTGTGTGCATGTGTGTGATGCAGGAGGAGTGGCTTCCATTATCAGCTTTTTGCAGCAGTGAAAAAAAAATGGGGAAGTCTCAAGACTGGGTTGCCTGCCAGTTACCATTAAAAGCTAATCATTTGTATACAAAGATAAAGCTGGGCAACATCAAAAATAAGGTCGACAGCTTCTTGCTTTGTGTTCTCTTTAAAATATCAAAGGACAAGCAAAAAATTAAAGGAAACTACCAAAGCCACCCATTAAAAACACAAGGACTTTGGAGCCCAAAATTTGTGTGTACAAATCCTCTCCTTACCACTTATTGTGTGTACTTAAATGTCCTAGCCTGTTGTCACACTTAAAATCAGGCATAATAATTCAAATGCTTACTTCATAGCATTCCAGTGAGAATGACATGAGATGATATACATGTAGGGTGTGTGACACTTAGAAGTTTCTTTAGGAACTCTTTTACTCTAAATATTGGTTCGTGTCTCCATCCCCGCCCCCATGAAAATAGGCTTTCAACAATATGCTCACTTTCATTTAATTTACATATATAAAACTACAGTTAAACTATTTTTTTAAGGTCATGATAAGGGACCTGAATTAAAACCAAAAAGTAAGTAGTTTGGACAAGTGATGGCGAAACCTTTGAGATGTTAATGGTGAGTTATTTTCAGAAAATTCTGGCAATATATAGAATATACAAATGTAGTATTATCTAGTAAAAGTAAAGTATGAGGTAGTGATTACTATATTTTTGAAAGTACCACTCCATGTAACTGGTTTTTACATATAGTGTTTGACCTAGGAATAATGATACTTGAATGCTACTTAAAGAGCATTTAACATTTAATGAGCCAGGAAGGTCTCCCAGGCCTAATACTCTTCCACTGGTCCTACTTTATTCGAGAAGTTTATAAAACAAAACCAGGACAAATTTTCAAGATATACCTGTTTAAATTTCTCAAGCTATTTACAATTTTGCTCAATTTCTGAGCAAAGTAAAGTTCTTCAGGAAGTTGGATACATAGTGAAGCACTTTCCTCAAGACTCCAGGAGAGAAAAGCTGATCCACAGTTCATGACCCAAGGGAAGATCATAGAAAAAAACTGGACAGAAAGGAACAGCTCTGATCAGCATTGATTACCTTCCAGATATTTCCATTTGACAAGAATTTTCATCATCAAAGTCTCATGCTGTAGCTTTTGTGGAAAGCCTGGTTTTGCCTTTTTAGCCTTTTGTTTTGCTCACACAGGGATCCCATTTAACAATTGCACAGCATTCCTCCGTGATTTGGCCTAACTTACTCTTTCTCTGAGGGAGAACATAATTTCTTAAAAAGTGCCGTTGTAGCTGAGATCATTATGCTTTGGACCAATTGGAAAGCTTATCTACTGTTGACAAATTTTTAAAAGATAAAAATTATTATGCCTCAACATTGCCGTTATTTTTAGTTGCTGAACATAAATCATTTGGGAAATAATCTCCTTTCCCCTGCTTTCTTCTCATTTCTTCCTTGTCTCTCTCTTCCACTGAAATGAAGGCTCAAAGCTTATACCATGTATTTTTTTAAAAAAGCATTTATCTTTGTGTGGGTCATCTCCAAAAAAAAAAAAAAATCGACCAACCGTTATGTCCTTGTGTGACTTATTTTAAAGAGATACAGATAAAATGAAAGATGGAAGAAATGTTTCCTTTAAAAATTTGGAGGAAAATTTTTGGCCCTTAACAATGAAAAAGCTTGTTTGGAAGTTTTTGAAAATTTTAAACATATGAAATGTTGTGTTGGTCTGTTAAAATTAAATATAGTCTTAATAAAGTTTAAAACTATATGGTTTCTGGTCAAAGATCAATTGCTTTAATTACTGTGATAATTTAAGTGAGAAACTATTTTTTTCTTTTAAAGTCAGCTCCATTAAAAAGTAACTCAGGGAAATTTAAGGACTGTCCTTGAGCTACTCCATACACTTGACTTGGCCTCTAGCTCACTTGCAGCCATGTAGACTGTTCTGATAGGGGTAGCCATAATGACAGTCTACTACCAATAATCAATCTCAGAAGCCAATAGCATCCTGGGGTTCACACAGCCATGGATCCCCAATCCAATGCCCAGAGCTTATGCCTCTACTTCTAAACTATGTTGTGGGTACCTGGACTCCCAGACTTCCCTGTCCAAAAGGCCCTAGGGACCTCATAGGCAACTGCTCTGGGTGTTTCCCTCACAATGATCAGTGAGTTACTAATGTGTGTGTTCTTAATCCTTAGGCTTGGTGGGGGACTGTGGAGAGGTATTGGACATGCACCGTGGGTTTTCAAAAAATTTGCATGAAAAGCCTTTTGCAGGGCAAGATGGAGTGGCTTTAACTTATTTTCTTTGTAAAGTAGCTTGTAAAGCTTGAATGGGAAGGTAAATTGGCGGAGTGGATGCTTGGGGTCCAGGGGCTTTCAGGACACAAAATCGACATGAAGACAATAGAAAGGAAGTAAGTAGGTGACTAAGACAGGAGGTTCATGAGTTCAAGCTGTCTACTCAACATAGTTACAGTGACCCTTTCTTAAAAAAAAGAAGAAAAGAAAAGAAAAGGGGCTGGGAAGCAGCTCAGTGTGAAGGCCCTGGGCTCACTCTCTACTTACTCCTCACCCTGCAAAAAGGAAAATAAGTTACAGCAGCTCAAGTTTTAAGGTCTCCTCTGATTTCAACTCAGGACTTCGCGGTTTTCTCTGCATTTTCCACATTCCTCATGCTCCCTTGAAGAGTGATATCTACTTCATGAAATTTGGGTAATGGAAAAGAAATCAGAGCTGTACACAGAACTTGCCCAGCTGCTTGCTGTTCAGTGCTGCTGTGGTGGCAGACATAGCTAAGGCAGCTCCTGTGAGCTCAAATGGATATACTGTCTATAAAACCAGGATGTTAGATTTCGTTAGCTGTTTTCTGTGTCAGCGTTTGGGTGAAGAAAACAAATAGTCATGCATCTTTCTGAATGAGATCTGCTAAAACCACATCTCCTCAGTCCTTGTGTTGGCACTATTTTTAAAAAGGAACATTTTAATACGTTCTGATGCTTTTTCTTATATTTTATTACTTCTTCCAATTTTTTCAGAGTCCATATCTGCCGGGGCACCCAACTTCAAGCTGACAAGAATTTGGATAGGAGAATGTCCTTGTCACTTGCTTCTGAGCAGGAGTTATACATGGTAACTTTCTGACTCTGAATGGCCTAGAGAAAGTAGTTTGAAACACAACAGATAAGAACAGTAGGAAAACACTGGCAAACCAGAAGCCAGTTCTTTATCTCATAACTAGCTCCATAAACTGCGTTGGGGGTGGGGCATGTTCTAGAATCTATTTTACTTTTTCATATCAATCTTACTAGTGTTGATATGTGCACTTTTATCATGGAGCATTCAGTTAACAGGATGAAACTGGACATGATTCATTTGATGTTTTCAAAGGTAGAAACTAACTTTGTAGTTTTCCCCCCTTTTGAATACCACACTACTGAGGTAAAAAAATGTTTTAGCTTGTGGGTGAGCTCAACAAAGCCAATTAAAACCTTACTACTCTCCACCATGTTGAAATACCTGACAGAACTGGCTGTGTCCTTGGATAATGGCCCCCTTTTCTTTCTTCTTAGCAGACATCTAATTGAGATTTCCTGTTTGGTAGTCAAGGAAATGAAAATGAAAGTATCATATTGTTGATTCTGGTATTTAAAATTTTTCAGTTGTTCATGTACAGTGTTAAATTTAAGCCCTGAATTTTTTCAAAAAAAAGAAAGAAACATACATTACAAAAGAACACACATATGTTTCACAGCAGCCTGAGTATGTGTGGAATGTAAAGAATGCAGTTAGTGTAGATTAGTCATTCAAAAGAAGGTCTAGGATTTTATAGTACCTAATTGACATTGCAGCTTGTAACTCACGCATGCTTTGGGAGTATAATTTTGTTTCTGTTGCGATAAGTACTTATTGACAATTTCTTCATAGTTTAAATGTTTAGGTGGAAGTGTGAGAAATTGAGATAGTTAACCCTCATGTTAGGGTCTGGGGTAGGATCTCAGACCTCTCTCCTTAATGAGGTTTGGAAGCTGAAGAAAATGCCTGTTCCTGCAGCCAGATTGATTTCATGTGGGAAAAGAGAAGAACTAAGAGAAGACTGCTTAACTAAGTTTTTCTAATTATACCAGATGTCGCCC